TTTAATTACAATGAAATTTCAAGTACAATAATAAAATGATATAATTTGACATATTCATTGGTTTATAAAATAAATAATGATAATTTGAAATATTTTATGAGAAAATAAGAATAATTGTAATTTTATTTCATTTTATTGTTTTTATAAATAATCTGATTATTTTCATAATTCATAAAATGAAACCAGATGAAAAAAAATATGATGGAAATAAATGATTTTATTTTAATTGAATTTAATTGTATAATATTAATAAAGAAATAAACAAAGAATAAATGCAAATAGAAATAAAATACAATATAATTAAAATAAGAATAAATGATTGAAAAGTTGCCATTTCTAAAGTTATTTAAAAGAAAAAGAATAGTTTTATTTTATTAACAATTATAAACAATAATGAATGTCATTTGTTTTTGTAAAGTAATTTTCATTTCATATTTTACATGATGAATGAAACACTATAACTTGTACAATTTATTTTCTTCCTCTCTAATTGTAAAATAACAAGCATCATTTTGTATATGTTTGTAACGTATTTGAAAAATAAATAAAAGATAAAACATGAAATGAACAAAGAATAAAACAATCAAATTTAAATATATTTATTTATTCATGTGATTTAAAGTTTATTAAGTAATTTTAACATTTAAAAAGAATATTTAAAGTAAGTTATAAGTTAAATTCAAATATAAAGAAGTTAATTGATTCATAAATGTGTTGATATTCATTTTTATGTAGAATGTAAATAAAATGATAATAAAATATTAAAGAATGGTGTTAAATGTAAAAATACAAGATTAAAACGAGTTTTATCAACAATAATTTTAATGCAGAAAGAGTTTCTAATAATACTCAACAAAATGTTAAAGTTATATCTGATACATTTCAATTAAAATACTTTTGAAATGTGTGTATTGTATGACTAAAACAGTATAACCATAACACAAAATGAATAGTTAGAAAAGAAGAATGTTTTAAAAGATAAAATTAAAAAGAGTTGAATAAATTTATTAAATAAATGAAAATACTGATATTCATTGTATTTCATTCATTCATAATAAAATGAAAGATAAAACAAGAAGAGAAAAAAAGAGAAAAAAATAAAAAAGTGAATATGACTAGAAACAAATTGTGGTTTTAATGAAACATTGGTGAGTATTTTAGAATTAATATTTCTGTAATACTTACTCTTTCTTGTATCTTTACTCTTTTGAGAAATGTATTTCTTTTTATATTCAATAATCTCTATTTTGTTATTGTTAATTTATTATCATTGAATATTTTATTTACACTTCTGATGTATTTTCAAAATTTCTTCATTTAAACATCATTCAATTCACTTATTTCATGTTAATCAATTTCAATAATGAAACGTATAATTATTTTCTTTCATTTGTTATTTCCTGTTTACTTCCATTGATTTTATTAAAATATTTATAATGATAAAATGAATGAAATGATTCATATAATTATTGAGATTAGTGTATATCTGTTAATACAAATAATACATATTTCTCACATTCTTTTATCATTTACATTTATTTGTTGATATGATT